AAAGGAAAAAAAAAAAATATATATGACCTCCAAAACAAAAAGACCTAAACAAGTGGAGAAATGGAGAGGGAGGGACAGCGGAGCAGGCATGTGAAAAGCTGAAAGAGCACGTAAAGAGCGCCTGGGTCAAGACTGAACTAAACTGGCCATCCCTTCAACCACGCTTTCTCTTAAGTGGCTGGTACTTCTTTATCAATCAGTGATAGCGCTGTCCCACTTCAATCCTCATGCCTCCTGGGCAAAAATGAAACTACCTAATCACCAAAATGCCTGAGCTTCTTGAAATAGCCAAATAAGGACTAATCCACTCACTTCCCTAATCCCTCCTAGAATCATCTGGCACAGATCCAACCCTGGTAAAGCCCCCACCCTCAATTTTTCCTGATGCTTCTGAGGCCCCTCAGAAATGCATTCCCTTGGCCTGCAACAATCTAAGCTTTATAAATAAACCCAGCTTTTTAAAAACTTCAAGTACAATTTTTGGTCTCTGGATAGTGAGTGACCTTCCACAGAAAGAAACAGTTTAACAAAGTACTTCTATTTCATTCACTAGTGTTCCTCATAAGTACCATCTATGTCACAGAAAAAAAAGGAAGACATAATGGAAGAAAACAAAATTCTTAGAAAAAAAAGTATGGTAAAGAAAACAAGTTTACTTGAAAAAAATAAGCAAATACAAAGAGCCAAAAAAAACTGAAAAAGAAAAATAATAAGGCTATACTGATTGACCTTATTAAATAGTAAGAGATAATACAGTATAGTAGTAAAGCATTAATAGAAGAACCAGTAGAAAAGAAAAAGAATCCCATAATCACCCCAAATATGTACCTAAGGAATTCCAGCAAATAATAAAAGTGGCACCTCCAATGAGTGAGGGAAAGATAACTTCAATAGTTAATTTTATAGTCACTTAAAGAGTGTTTTTGGATGAAGTAAACACTATATATTAGTGACTCTGGATAGAGCAGGACTGCCTTCCACAACATGGGTGGGCCTCATTCAATCACTTTGAAGCCCTAACTAGAACAAAAAGACCAAAATACCCTAATGCTATAGTTTCAGTATTTCCCCGAAATTTCATGTGTTAAAATGTGAGGACCCATCCTAACAATGTGGAGACAGGAATCTTAATGCGATTATGGTGTGAAGAGATGGGGTCTTTGGGAGGAGATTGGGATTAGATAAACTCATCGGGGTGGGCCCCCACGATGAAACACTAGTGGGTTTTAAGAAGGAGAGACCAGCACTAAGACAGACACAGACATGCAGGCTCCTGCCTCTTGATACGCAATGCCCTGCATTGCCTTGGGACTGCAGAGTCCATACTACTAAGAAGACTCACCAGATGCAGCCTCTTGACCTTGGACCTCCAAAACTGTGAGCTAAATAAACCTCTATTACTTAAATTACTCAGTGTGGTATTCAGTTGTTAGCAACAGGAAAAAAAAAAAAAAAGATGGAAACACCTAGAAGAGGGAATTCTCCAGCAAATTGCCCTTGGACTACGTCAGCACCTCAGCACCTTCTGAGTTCCCTATCTCTTGCCTGCTGGCCCACCTTGCAGGTTTTGGACTTGCTAGCCTCCATAATTTCATGAACCAATTCCCTGTGACAAATCTCTCCCTATATACATATTTACGCACACCCTATTGCATCTCCTTCTCTGGAGACCCGACTAATATAACACAACCCTAACTTATACAATAGCCTATATAAGAAAATGTATTTACACAACCAAGTAGCCATGGAGGAAGGACCAAAAAACAAGTCGAACCAGACCCTTTTCCCTAGATTACAGTATGTGTAATGTACAAATGCATATAGGAAAATAGTATAAAATAACATGGGAGAGTTCCTTTATGAAAGTTCTTCCAAACTCCCACTAAAAATAAAATCCAGAGATCATACAAGGAGACTAGTAATTTTGACTATGTAAATATTAAAAATGAAAACCCACTTCTACATGAAAAAATACCATAAATAATGTCAAAAAATATATAAGAGGGGTTGTTAGTACACATCCTAAAGGGCCTAGCTCTCTGTATATAAAGAGTTTTATAAATCAAATGTTAAAAGACCAACAAAGACAGAAAAATTCCAAGATACAAAGACATGATATATTGTCCAGAAAAATAGAAACCCAGATGATTTTAAATATATAGGAAGACACCCAGTATCGCTTATAACAAGTGTAAACAGAAACTAAATTATCCGTCTGACAAAAATCCCGAAGCTTCATACATCATGTGCATGGCACATGTGTAGAAAACGGGTCCTCTCACATGTGGATGTGGGAGGATAAATCGGTACAACCTCTAAGGGGAGCAATCGGACAAAAATCTACCAGAACTACACACTCTCTACCCCCAGCAGTGTCACTTTCAGAATTTTACTGTGCAGGTAAAATTTATTTTGGGGGTGGTAACTGTATCAACAATGATATATCATATTTCTTAGAGAAACTCCAAATATATCTGGTCACCTAACTCCTTAAAATCCAGGACTGCTCCTGTCCAACAGGCCCATCAGATTAGGCCACCTACATGTATCCAACTTCCACCTTGTTATTCCACAAAGAATTTAATAAAAGGTAAAAGCAAATACTCAGGGATCAGGCCATTATGCAATGAAAATGAGAACAGACCCCCATGGAAAAGAGCCTGTGTTTCCCTGCTAAGATCTCCCTGGGCATGATGGTTGTGAAGGCCGGGATCTGGACTGGTCAGACCAGGTGTGGATCACGGTATAAAGATCTGTGGACTCTCTTTCCTGTCTGTCTCTATCTGTTGTGGGAATAAACAAATACACTTAAGAGAGAGAGAAAAAATCTTCATTCTATAGGTAGAGATTATGAATATAAGAAATATTTCCAACATACTTCAAGAATGTGTGGTTTTATTCAAAATAAATTAAAAAAACAATATTTACATTAAAGTGTCATGAATATATAGCATTTCTTGTCATATAATTTATAGTATTCAAATCAATAAAATAATGGTAGTATCAATCAAAGCATAAGCACATTAAAATAGCATTCATTAAACTAAGAATCTACCTGTAGTATGCTTTAAATATTTAAATGTGAAGGATATTAAATAACTAATTGCCATATGCTGGAATGCTTCATAAAGGAAGTAAATTTTGAGCTTGGTCATGAAGGAAATGACAGGCACTCAGAATCCTTAATCAAATTGGTTTTACAATCAGAGATTCATTTCTGCACACTGAAATAAAATGAGTAATGTAATCTCTGTTGAATCTATAAATTTTGAAGACATGACCAAACATTCTATGTCTACAGATAAATTCAATAAGGCTCTGTAAGTCCCTTGTAAAGCCTATAACCTTATCCCAAACGAAACACCAGTCTCTCTCACCTTCAGAACTAACATTCAAATGTTTTAAAATTTTCAAACACTTTTTAAAATAAAAGTCTATACCAAGTAACTGAAATAATGTACATTCTGTTTTTATAAACCCCAGATATACGGGACCAGCAGTTGGCATAATGGCTATGTTGCTGGACTCCCATGTAGCTGACCACAGTTCGAGTCCCCGACCCGACAGCTTAAACTCATGCTGGGCGCATGTGCGTGCGTGCCCAAGATTCCGAGAGGAGAATGGAGGAAGAGTGATTGCGGTGTGGCCATTCTCCCTGGGGGGTGATTTCTCCCTTTCTGTCTCTATGTCTCTCTCTGTCTTTCTAACAAATGCACACACCCTAGAGGAAAATCCTCTCCAAAAAAATTAATTAATTAAAAAATAAATTTAAAAGAAAAACAGATATACTGCCAAACTTTTGAAAATATACATGCAAAAATTGAGACTATACAAGATCACAAATCTCAGCTGTTGCTTTAAAATATTGGGTCTTCACATATTGGGTCGTCGGAAAAATCATGACACATTTTTGCACAGAAAAATAGGTCATGACTTTTCCAACAACCCAATTCTTTGTTTAGAATCATAAACTATCTAGAACTCAAAAGAAGTCACAGGAAACTGACTCCAACAAACCCAAGTAAATACTGAAGAAATCAGCTGAATTGATTAAATTAAGCTCCATCTGTTTATAGGTTTCGCTAATGACAAGAATCTACTCAAGCCATAGAAGGAGCCCTTTAAACATAAAAAAGTCAGTGCCACGCAGGTTCCTCCTCTCTTCACCACCTTCACCCACAAAACAGAGACAGGAAGATAGAAAGATGGCAAGTAATTCAAGGCTATGTAGGAATCGCTATGTGCGAGATTCACCTAGATTCAGAGTTACAACCCTCCTCTCAGCTTCTTTGCACGTCAACCGTGAGTGACCAGCTCTAAAGCAAAATGAAACTGCCTTGTTTTATCAAATGCTTATGTACCATTTTTCTACAAATCAAGTCAGCTGGTTATAACCCAATAACTTAAGAGTATTTAATGAGGTTAAGTGAAACTAGAAACTGCTTAATACACTTTAAAGTACAGGATTCCCATTAGTATCTTAACATATTGTCACCAAAGCTATCATCTGTTTATAAACTAGTTTAGGAGAATAACACTGTCGAAGGCAACAGAGTCTCGATAAAGCAGCATTTGCCGTTAAAACAACAACAAAAAAGTCAAGACAAAAAAAACCATGCATGTCCCAACTGGCAGGATTAAATGATTGATGAAAACCACTCTCCTGAAAAACCTTACCGTGGCAGAGCACCTTCTTGAAAGAATTAGAAGACAAATGATGAAGAACATGAAAGGACTGGTATTTTCTGCTCTAACTAACCGGCGATGCAGACAGCTATCAAACTCCTTCTTCCAACCCTTCTATCTCAAACATGGAGGGAGAATGGGAGGAAGGGAAGGAAGCTAGAGTAGGTTATACTTTTGCATGTTCTCAAAACGATGCCTTTATTCCACAAAGATACAATGTTGAGAATGAGACAGGGAGATGTGTGAGAGCCTAGTCTGCCTTGAACACAGACCAGAGGACAGGACAGAGCCCTGGGCACGGTGGGCTGGCTCACCTGCTGCGGCTGGTACCTCTGCTGGGACGGGGAGGGCAGGTACTGCGCCTGCGGCGGGAGGTGCGGGGGCTGCGGCTGCTGCTGGTTGTAGTACGTCTGCTGGCCCTGCTGGCAGTAACCACTCACACCTTGCTGTCCATACTGAGGTGGCATCTGGCAAAAAGTCGAGCAAAGCAAATGAGAAAGTCAGAGCGTGCAATGAAATAAAATCAAATATGGTTTTAATTCAGCAACATGAAGTGTGTTCTTTGCTAAGAAACTGCATTCATTATTTTCGATCCTCATTAAGACTGGCATGCTGACACTGCCTTCTACTCTGATACCATCAATAAGTTGAAAGATAATTTGATTTTGCCTTTTTAAAACAAACATTGTATCAGAGATTAGCTATTAATAGTATCATGAAAATCTAGTGGGGGACAGAAGAGAACCTAATACTAACATTAAAAAATAGCCTCTGCTGTGGGCAGCGTTTGGCATGGTGATTGAGGGGCAGGACTCCCACGTGACTAACCATGGTTCAAGTCCAGACCTGGTATTTTGACATGGGGTATTTGCATACAAGCCCAAAATCCCAAGAGAAAAATGGAAGAGAAGGGATTACAGCATGGTCATCCCCCCTGGGGAGTGATTTCTCGCTTTCCTTCTCTGTCTTGGTAATTCTCAGGTCTGTGCATGCACCATATAGCAAAAAAATCTTAAAAAAAAAAAGTCTCTGCTAAAACAGTCAAAGCAGCATTATATATTCAATTCCTTTCCATGCAATAGCTAAAATTAAAATAATCTAGAACACTCCAAGTGAACTCGCTAATATTTTATGGGACGTTTCTGGTTTGGATGCATTATCTAGTGCATGTTTGTGTTTAAGTTCAGAAGAACTGAAGTTAGAACATCGCAATTACATTTACAGCAGGTATGTACCAGATACATTAGCAAGTCCATTTATTGTGTTTGCTAAAAATACATTCCTTTATAATCACAGTAAAACCGTTTAAAAACCAATACTGTGTATAGAAACACAATACTGTGTATATAAACACACTAATATGAGTTCTTTCAATTTTTTCTTCTTTAGGTTTTTGCTATAGGGCACATGTGTGCTCACAGAAGAGAGACAGAGAAACAGTGAGAAGGAAAGTAAAAAATCACCCTCTAGGGAGGATGGCCACCGCAATCCCTTCTCCATTCTCCTCTCAGGACTTTCGGCACAAACATATATGCACCAGGCATGATTTTCAAGACTCCAGATCTGGGACTCAAACCATGGTCAGCCATGTGCAAGTCCAGGGCCTTCACCACACCACTGGCTGAATCCCCAATATGAGTTCTTGAAGGAGGGCTATTCACATAAAAGTAGGACACAAGGACAGCATTGCCGTAGTTGAAAAAGTAGGTGTTAATGTACAGCAAAGCGTATTGTACCATAAATACCAAAGACATTGATTAAAATGGTCTACGTCAGTCTTCACATTCCAGATTTACATGAGCCCTTGGAATAACTCTTCAGAGGAAAATCTTTTCTCACGTAATAAATACATCGTTGATAGTATTTTCTTACTTTTTTTTCCAAATGAGAACTCTATTGACCTTTTTTTTTTCTAATTGGGAAAGCAGAAATGACAAAGAATAACAAGCTATCAGGACAGCAAGAAAACACTCCAGAGACAAGAATCGAGAAATCACTTTGTTAATACCACAATATGGTCCATCTGAGAACTCCAAGAACTTGAGCCCCTAAAACCCACATACTCAAGAAACAGAGAATGATGCCAGATACATACTCAAAGGCCAAACTCGTTACGGAAATACCGAATGAGGGGAAAGAAGAATGTTTAAGGAGGAAAATATTAAAATGTGTTGCCTCTAAGACAAAGTATCACAGTAATCCATAACACACACAATGAAGAAAAGAGAACCCCCCACACACATACACAAAACTAAAGTTCCTGCCTCTTTCAACCCAATCCAGATTATTTCCAAGACCTATAAGTAATGATCTCAAAATATGTGGCCATGTGGTCACGATGCCACTCGTCACACGGAACCTAAGTTGTCAGAGCAGATAAGTGCACTGAAAACTATTTAACAGCACAGTTGAATTCTTTGCTTATATTTATTTTACAGCTTGGAATCTCATAATGAATTATGTCCCTGCCATAAGCCAAGCCAAAGAATTTCCATAAAATACAACTCCACATGCTAGAATACCATATACCACCACAACACACATCCTCCCGTTCAACACCCATATGTTTGATTTGATATCTAATACTCTGTTTCACACAAGCATCTTTGCAGTTTGATTTGAAGCAGTTAGGATAACACTTCTGCCAGTGTTAAAATGACTGCAAAGCTCAGTCAACAGAGCCAGCAACTCCCCTATGAATTGCGCTTTAATATGTTGACTTTCTAGTTTACGAAAACCCTTACACACAATATGGAAGTGTTGTTTGAGGAGTGAGGTGTCTCTGTGTTGTAAGCAAGACAACAACAGGACATATTGCAGGAACTCGCTACACTAGGGCAGCCACACACTCAAGAGAATCATTTACCATCCCATTTGAACACTGGCACATTGGGGCAGGCTGGGAGCAAGGCAACCTTCAATGGAGCCACCACAGGACCAACAGAACAAGGCAAACTGCAGAGGAGAAACCACTCAAACATCTATTTTATTATCTAATGTCTTCTTGGATTAAAAACCAACTTGCTGGGACCAGCAGATGGAGTAATGGTCATGTCACTAGACTCCCGTGTAGTCTACTGTGGTTTGAGTCCCAGACCCAGTAGCTCAAAACTCATGCCGGATACGTGTGCACGGGTGCTCAAAATCCCAAGAGGAAACTAGAAGAGAAGGGACTGTGGCATAGCAATGTCCCCTGAAGGGGGTGGGGGTGGGGGGTGATTTCTCCCTTTCTTTCTGTCTCTGTCTCTCTGTCCTTCTGGCAAGCAACAAGCCCTATAGCAAACATCTCCCTCTTTAGAAAAAAAAAGTTATGTCCTTATAAATACAGGATTTAATTAATTCATTTGGGGCCAACTTCACTGGCACTTCACTCTGAGAGGCTGAGATGAGGCTACCTATAACAAACCATCAGATCTGGGCGTTAGGGCCAATCAGCTGGATCTGGTCTGCTGTCCTTGAATGCGGGCCACAACAGAACAGAGATTACTAATCTCTGGTCAAACTTAATCTGAGTTAGAAATGTTTCAAGTCTAAATCCAAGTCCTGTTGTACTTTAGAACTGTGAATACAGTCAAAGACATACCTGTATTTGTCTTATACCTCCAACGATGTAATAAAGCTCTCTTGATTAATTCATCTCTCTGGTAAATCATAGTGATATAAGATAAGCACCTCTAATCCAAAAATCCAAATTCTGAAATGCTCCAACATCCAAAACTTTGAGCACCAACATGACATACAGGTAGACAATTCCATAGCTGACTGTCTGTGACGGATCACACCCAAAACACTACAGTACGAAAACACTGGATAAAATAATTACCTTCAGACCGTGTCTACAAGATGCATATGAAATAAAAATGAATTTCCTGTTTCAACTTGGGCCCCATCTTCAAGATACCTCATCATGTTTATGAAAATACTCCAAAATCTTAAAAATCTGAAGTACCTCTGTTGTCAAGCATTTCAAATAAGATATACTCAACTGTATTGCACCCAGAAATATCATAATCCTACCTGGAAATCTATACAGGTGCTAATATTACATCCTACATTACAGGTTGTAGTGCTATCTCTAAGATATTAAAGGTTTCCTACATGTTACCTCTAAAAACCAATTTCTCAATAAATACCTCAGCTGCCTGGAACTAAAGAGTTAGTTAATTAGTTAGCTTCCTAGTTAGTCATAGGAGAGAGGGATGTTTGCTTTAGAGCACATATGCTCGCTAGAAAGACAGAGAGAGAGAGAGAGACAGAAAGCAAGAAATCACCCCGCCAGATAGGATGGCCATACTGCAATTCCTTCTCCTCTATTCTCCTCTTGGGATTTTGGGCACACACACACACACGCATGCACACATGCCCAATGTGAGTTTCAAGCCTCAGGGTCCAGTACTCGAACCACAGTTGGCCATGTGGGAGTCCGGCAAGGTAACCATTCAACCATCTGCTAGTTCCTAAACTATAATTTTTTAATGATTATTGTTGTTTTTCCTTTCATCCATTTACATGCAGGTTTCTAATCATATACCATAGGCTTTATGAGACTTCTTAAAACAAATAATAATTTTTATGAAACATAAATCAACAGATTAGACCACAGTACACAGAAGGCCCCAGAGCCTACTTCCAGAAGCTCCAGACTAACTCCTTCATCAGCTACTGGGTCTGCTCACTTTAGCTCTGCCAGCCTCTCACAGGCCAGCAAGGCACTTGGCTATGCTCAGGACTCAGTTCAGTCCTCACCCAGAACCCCAAGAACGCCCCAAACCCCAAGTGTGCTTCTGATGCAGTGAGGGCTGGGAGAGCCATGCAAGTTGTTGAGCTGAGGAAGGCCCAGAGGACAACTAATCTGTGAGGAAAGCATACGAGCTTTCTGTCTCAAGCTTGGTAAAAACTATTTCAGCTACTGAGAGAGTTTGTTTCTCTCTCAATAAAGGACATACGTATTAACTTCCATCTAATTCTAGGCTCCACTTTTCATTTCACCATACCCCAAATGTTTTGCTCATATTCCAACTTAGTCACATAATAAAATTTTATCTTCTCTCCCTCCTTTTATTTGTAAGGAAGTTCTAGAAAGCAGTTTCCCATTAAGTTTAAAGATGCACCAACTCAGGGACAGCAGGTAGCATGATGGTAAAGGCATCAGACTCCACATAGCTGACCATGGTTCAAGTCCCAGACCTGGCAGCTTAAAAATTACACTGGGCACATGTGCATATATGCCCAAAATCCCAGAAGGAAAATGGAGGAGAAGGGATTACAGTATGGCTATCATCCCTGGTGATGGTTTCTCACTTTCCCTCTTTCTCTCTCTCTCTCCAGTGAGTACATGCACCCAATGGCAAAAAAAAAATGAAAAGAAAAAAAAGTTTTTCATTTTAAAACAATGCACTGACCTAGTGACTGAGCAATACATCTTAATTAATGCAGACATCTGAATAGCTGGCCTCGCGCTTTTAGA